CAACATACCAAGAATTGATAATTTTATAATTAAACTCACTAGAAATTATTACGCATCTCTCCCAATGATTCAAAATAGCTTAATATTTCCAATAGCTTTTCCAGATCCCAATTACATTGATAAAACAAGAGTATCAGGATACGTCCCTCCAGAAGCATTCATTTTATTAGATCAAAATGGCTATATTCAAGACAAATATAAAATTCCGACCATATACCACATGCCAAGAAATAAATTAAATAAAAAAATATTGTATGAACCTGATATCGTATGCGCAGCAAATTTGAACCGATTAAGATATAACACAGCAATACCTCTAAGAGATTATAAGGATAATTATATGAAGAATAGCGATAAATTCTGGTGGTTAAAAAATAAAAATAAGAAATAAAACTAAATAGTAAAGCTTAAGTACCAGATAAATCTTATAGTAGTTAATAAACATAGTAATATATATTATATTTTATTATATTGTACATCGTTCATTAGAATCATTGTAAATAGTTCATTTTAGCAACTCATTTTTCATCAGTATTCTAATCCCTAGTTTTAGTAATAATTTATAGTCTTCCGTAGTTATAACAGTTATTTAACCAGTGTTTTTTTTTATCATACGTCGTTTAAGTTTTTTCACTGGCTAGTCTCACTCATGTTTACTCATAAACCTCCCCGGAGAATCTCAATTCGAGTTAAGTTTAAAAATTCGTCAAAATAGGATAAATATTAGCTGCGAGTGCTCAACGAGCCGTCAGTCTACTAACCACTAGATATAAGGATGGAGTTGTTTTGTTTATTGGACTCATGATGTATTATTGTAACAGTAACGACATAATAAACTATTTGAAATGCAAAAATACGTTGAAAGCACCAGTTCTCGTCTGATCACTGAAGTCAAGCAACGTTGGGCACGGTCAGTACTTAGATGGGTGACCGCTTGGGAACACCGTGTACTGTTGGCATAATTTTTTCTTCTTTTGATAATTTTCAAAAACTAATAATGGAACGCGACAACCTATCCCTTCTTTTTGTTTTTCATTTTCAAAGCTTTTTATCGTCTTTTTGTGCTATTATTATTATTATCTGGCTTACAAGAGCAAGAAAAATTGCGTAGTTATGTGTCAAATAAGTTTTGCAGTAACTCAAACAGATTGGCAAGTATCAACGATTACCAATATGGATTCAAAAAGCAACATTCAACAATGCATGCGATAAATAAAATCGTCTCAAATGGGTAAACTGGGCTCTAAAGGACAAGAAGTGCATGGGAGCATACCTAGTAGATCTGAAAAAAGCATTTGATACTGTATGGCTCGACGGGCTGCTCTTTACACGCAAAAAAATGATTTAATAATATCAGCTAAACCGCGGTAGCTGATTCAAACTTAGTCAAAAGGCTAATTGTTTAGATGTCACTGTTAAAAATTGGCTATGACAGCTAAAATGCATTCGCTATGAAATACAAATATATTAGGTGACATTAAAAATGCACATTATTTCAAGTAGCTAAGAAAATGGCAGTTATTCCTAAATTTCTTATCGTATGTATATATTAAAGAAGTTTGCCGTACAGCTACAATCATTTATTTTTAGCAGCTAATATTTCTCGCTGTAGCGCCTAAGTTTAACAACGAATAAATTTAGCTTTGGTAGTATCGACATTAGCTGTCCCTATTTCAGTGACACATCTTATCTGCCACAGCTATTTTTTAGCTCTGGAAGCTAATTCTTTTTTTGTAGACTTAAGGATAAGAAAATCCCGAATCACCTGATTAAGTTAATATGGAATATAATAACGAATAGGTCGTTTGTGATAGTCAGTAACGGAGAGAAATCAGAGTAGGAACACAAACTTCTAAACGACCTACAACAAGGAACAATAAATTCTCCACTTTTATTTAACATCTACACATTTGATATATTACACCTATACGGCCCGAATAAGACTGACTGCACGTTACTGACCTTCGCAGACGATCTAATCGTATATTATACTGATAATAAACCGCACGAGGTACAAAAGAAATTAGAAAAAAACTTTAATTACTACACTAGAAAAAATCTTTAATTACTATAATGCTTAGAAACTCAGAGTCAACATAAACAAATACGAATGTATACTGTTTAGGCAATCTATTAGAATAGCTAGCCAATCAGTACAAAAAGGATATAAGAAATTCCAAATTACAATTCGGAAAGGCAACGAGAATATAAATAGGAAAAAGATGGTCAAATGTCTAGGTATAAACATAGATGAGAAATGTCTCTTGAATGAACATATTGATATACAACAGCATGTACTGTTGGCTTACTTTTTTATTTTTGATAATTTCTCCAGCATCTCCTTTACTATTATTATTAATATATTTAGCGCACACAATCAATCGCACAGAATTTTATAGCTGCAACGCAGCACGGCTTTGCTGACCAGCACTTCAAAACATATGAAGAAATAAAAAAGTGTCTCGATAAATGGATTGCTTCGGATGAACATTTTTTTATCGTGGAATTTACTTATTACCGAATACAGGGTGTCCCAGAAGTACCGCATGCTATTTTAATGGCAGATTCTTTAGAATATTTTAAAACGAAAACTTCCACACGAAAATATCGAGGCTATAATAGTTTTCAAATAGGAAACGATTATATTTCACCAATAACAGGGTTGAGATTTCGTGCGCTCAGGCACGCCGAAATGACAAGTGATAAAAGTACACACCGTATAGAATAGTGGACACCTTCATGGTAATTGATCGATACTTTGACAGATTAAGTTGAAATATGTTATTTTTACTTGAATCATATTTAAGATGTACAACTATTATTCGCATAAAAAATATATTAATGCAATGCGTAGAGAAGCGATAAAACATATTATGACAATGTTATTGTAAATTTATACAATAATCATAATATCGTAAGAAAAGTGACATTCATAGAAGCACCTTTATCATTTGTCATTTCGGCGTGCCTGAGCGCACGAAATCTCAGCCCTGTCATTGGTGAAATATAATCGCTTCCCGTTTGAAAACTATTATAGCCTCGACATTTTTGTGTGAAAGTTTTCGTTTTGAAATGTTCTAAAGAATCTGCCATTGAAATAGCATGCGATAGTTTCAGGACACCCTGTGTATATATACAGGGTGTCCGGTAACTAATGGAGCAACCGCCGTGTACGGATAGAACGGGTCCAAATAATCATAAAAGTTATATACCATTTTGAAATTTTCTCAATATTTATTCCGTAATTAATTAAAATATATAAGTCAATGAGCTCACAAGAAGCGGTAGGACAGGCTCTGTGTGTGTAAAAGAAATGGCTTACCTCTTAGCAACGATGAGTAAACAGCTGATTTCGAGGCGGAATAACTTATACGTGTCGTTTGTTACTCCGCCTCGAAATCAGCTGTTTACTCATCGTTGCTAAGAGGTAAGCCATTTCTTTTACACACACAGAGCCTGTCCTACCGCTTCT